GCACACCCCCCCCCCCCCCCCCCCCCCGACTGCGTCTTTACGCGCGGAGAATCCTGTTGCGCACCTTACTCCCTTCACTCCGGAGCGCTCCTCTGTGGATACCCTGCGTCCCGCAGAACTACCGCACACCGACGATGGACGACGAGTTCCCCTCTAACTTATACCCGGCTCTGCCTGGAGTTTCCGATGATCTGAGCCCTAATACCACCGAGGAGCCCGGTGAGTGGGCATCCTCGGACGGCGTGGAGACGGTCCACTTCGCCGTGCGCTTCGTCATGACCTCGGTGTACATCCTGATCATCACCGTGGGTCTGCTGGGCAACACAACCCTGGTGAAGATCTTCGTCACCAACAGCGCCATGCGGAGCGTGCCCAACATCTTCATCTCCAGCTGGCGGCTGGAGAGCTGCTGCTACTGGTCACATGTGTGCCGGTGGACGCCTCCCGCTACCTTTTCGAGGACTGGGTGTTTGGCGAGGCAGCGTGCAAACTCATCCCTGTCATCCAGCTGACGTCCGTCGGCGTGTCGGTGTTCACACTGACGGCGCTTAGCGCGGACAGGTAGGACGGCTGGATGTGGCTGTGAGAACCTGGCTAACAGTCTGGCTTCATCTCCTTGTCCTAAATGTCTTGCATCTTGTTCTCAGATTACTTAGGAGGAGTCTCATATAATATTCTGTAGTATTCCATGTTGTTTCCCAGTTAAAATGCAGGGCATCCTGAAGATGTTCCCATCCGCCGGTAGACAGCTGCTGCTACCGTTTCCCTCGTCAGTGAAACAGCCAATGTTCCATATGGAGAATATGGAACATTGGCTGTTTCTACTGGCACCGAGCGTGTAAGTGACTTTTTGAGACCAGATCCACATATAACTCTGTACAACAGCTACAGCCACGCACTGTTTTTAATCACTGGCGGCAGTGAGAGTACAGTACTGTACATACACAGTACTAAGGGCAATACAGTACAGAGTTGATGTTCTTTACTTGAATATTTCTGTTTCATGCCACTTTACACTTTGGCTCCACTGCAGTGCACGTTAAGATCTTTCACAGAAACCAAATTGCAATCATATCATTTATGGCAAACTGTTGTAAAATAAGCAGCATTGTAAGAATTTAATGGTCTGAAGAATAATAGGAGCTCTTAGGTTAAAGGTGTAACTTGTGGCTTTTTAAACATTCAGGGGGGTTCAGGTGTTTTAAGGCTTTTTAAATCTCCTTGATAAAATTTGTAGTGTATCCTTGTTTGGCTGCTTGCTTACTTCCTCTCATCTAAAACAAATATGCAGTGACAGCAGGATTCAGTTCTGACCATGATCACGATATCTTGATCTGCATGTCATCACACTGTGCTGTAGCCCAGTACAGTATACAATACAGTAGTATGGACAAGGAGAACGAGAACTGCCACAATATGAGAGAGATGGGGTGGATGAGCCCTCAGAGTCAAACTGTGTTGACAGCATGATGAAATAGAAAACTCCAGCTGAAAAACTGAATCTGACAAAATGAGAGAGAGTGTGAGGGACAGATGAAAATGAATCAGAGAAATAAGAGGAGCCGCCAGTTATTACTGCAGCAGATACCAAGTATAGTGACATTTACTGAAGCTCAACATCGAAAATAAATAAGACCAGTATTTAAATGGGATCGCTGGTCGTTACCAAAGCCAAAATGGTTTGTCAAATGTTTCTGAGAGTTTTCAGTTGCAGGTGCATTGAAAACATCCGACCTATAGCGTATTCAGCCAGTGTGACCAATGTATCTGTGGGCTGTTAATGGCCAATATCAGTTGGAAGCAGCTCAGTGACATGTCCCAGTGCTCATGTCTGTTCTGGACAGGTCTGTCTAACACCAAGGGTCAGTGTAAAAGAAGTGTGTAGCAAAATAGCACATCTGATGATGGGGGGCAGAACCACAAAAACAACGTGGAGGAACAGTTGTTGTGACCACAATGCAACCACAATGGTCGTCTGACACCTAGAGCTTCTCCTCTCCTGCTGTAAAGGGGTGTGGAGGTGCAGCCTGGAGGCAGACTCAGGTTCACATGGCAACAAGTCCCCAGCTGACACTCGACAAACACTTAGGATACAGAGGCTGATAATAATTTGAGCAAAAAGCCAAGATTGTATCCCCTCCCTCTCAGGCTTCTGCATTTGACACCTGCTTCCACTGCTGGCACCATGAAGAATGTGAGGTCCTGTCTGCTCATCATGACCAGTGACACCCCCCCCAATGATATGACACACATGAAACACTCCTGGAATTAGCAATCAGCAACCTGATTCTCTATGAAATATTTCACCCAGGATGCACCTTGTCTCGCTTCCACACATCTTCTTAAAATCGAGCAGGGCTCGTGGCTAAGACATCCTCTCTGCTTTAAACCCAAGGTCAGTCCTGACTGCAAACTGCACAAACACGACAACAGAACAGGGAAAACAAGAAAATGCCAAAATCTTGTTGTGTTTTGGGAGATGAACTGGAGCTGACGGGCCGAGCTCCCTCGGGGGGCCCACAGGGACTAATGGGCTTCCGAGGTGGAATTCAATTTGCCTGCAACATTTGTAAACCTGATAACGTGCAATAACAAAGCACACGTGCACGCACACGGTGGGTGTGCAGGAGAGAAGCTGGGATTTTCAAATGTCTGATGATGAGGTCAGATGGTCATATTAGCTTTTAGCAACAAACAAGATGTTGCTTTTGCAGAGGCAAAATTTTTGATAAGGCTGTGATTTGTCATTACAACCAATGTTGTTAGCAACTGAACCTTTTTCTCAAACGCATTTGTTTCAGCACTTTTATCAACATGACAAAAACCTCTGATCCAGATTTTCAAAAATATCTTTATTATCTTTAGCCACTGGTCTTCACAAACATCTTGGAATTAAGGAACGGGGAACAAACCAGGAAGCAGATGTATCCATTTCAGTTTTTAATGACACTGGGGAACAGCCATGACGCACACATTAGGCCTAATGGACGTGCTGGGACTCATGGAGCTGTGGTGAGAACATGAACCCTGGTGTTGGGACAGTGTGAGCAGGTCACAAATCCACATATGTTGGTTGGAAGTTACTCAAAAAATGTAACAAATTACTCATTACTGCCTTTTAAAATTAATATTATAATTGACTTATTACTACCTGTCAAAAGTAACTCGGTACACTACTCGTTACTGGGGAAAGTACTATAGTTACACTGATGGAGAAACAGTGAGCAGTGCGGTGACTGAACAGGAAGCCATGTGATGCTAAACGCCAGCAGTAGGTATACACCTACAGCTGCAGCCTCACAAGCTTCAGATGAAGCCGAGTGGTGGTGAGAGCCCACTGAGCCCAGAGTGACAGAGAGAGGCTGTCAGTAAGACACCAGTGTGTAGAAGGTGAGAAAGGAAGTACTGTAACTTATTTATCCTAATCATGCTCTGTGTGTGAGAGAGAGTCAAGTCATGTCTCTTAGGAGGACAGACTCAAACAAAACTGAACAAATACTTTTAATTTCTGAGCTCTGCCGTGCAGCTGCACCTCCTGCTCCCGCTCCCACTGTGTGAGCCACGGCGTTTACCAACAGGCAGTGCCACTGTTCCTCTAAAGTGCTGGGGTATCAGCTTGTTAATTGGAAACCCATTTCCTGATCACAAGCTGTCGGCAGCGATCTGGGTGGGTCTGATCCTGATGGCCTTTAATGAGCCACTAATGAGACTATAACGGCTCCTAACTTGCCCAAATGGCCGTGACAAGCAAATAAGGAGCCTGAAGCATGATAAGCATAATGATTGAAGTGGCTACTGAAGTTCGTCTCTAGATGATGCACACAAACACCTGGTTTAGCTGGGTGTGTCCAGAAGTATGGGCTCACTGCTGCCGGGCAGTGGGTCTGAGCCACCAGCCCACACAGAGCTGGGCTCATCTTGGGCCTTACTGTCTGTCCCTTCCCAAACTGGCAACCTCAGGGCCTGTTCCCCCTCTGGCAACATCTAAGCACCCCAGGCTTCTCCCAAGAAGAAAACTATGTCACAACTCTGCATGAACAATCAGCTGGTGTGGCTAAATGACAAAAATGCCAACAGTGCATTAGATGAACTCTGGCTGCTGTGGCACAAGTTACAGCTGTGGGCTAATGGTGAATCCTAAGTTAGCAGACTGGCTAAACAGCATACTTTAAGTTAAGAGCCAGCAGAAGCTAACTGCCTTTTCTGTTTTTACATGAGTAAACAAGACACATTACCAGGGCACTGTCAACAACACTGTGTCACAGTAGGAACAGTGCAGGTGTAAATATTTAAAGTAATGATGGTGGAAATTAGCTGCTGCTTTGCATGGCTCACGGTCACTGAAGAGGACAGACCAGCAGTAATGTGATTAGTAGCACTTGTGCTACTGTGACAAGTTATCACATGTGCTGTGAAACAGGCCTATTAGTAACTCACACTACACTCAGCTGGCAGCTCATTAGGTACACCTCCTGTACACTAATGCAGTCTAATTCAACAGCCCTCCATAGCGATCACACAGTGGAACTGACCCCTAGTTGTCTGCACAAACTGAACACTATCCCCTTTATAAAGGAGGTTTCCCTGCAGACTTAGACTGACTTGGTTTGATCTAGGTGTTCCTAATAAACTGACCACTGAGTGTATTGCTTTCAGAATGACACTGGCCTGTTTTGGGGTGTAAAAGAGCCTCACCATCATTCAGAAAAGCTATTAATGCAAAGAAGTAGCAGCTTTTCATTTGTCTTCCATCTGTGATTTGGGTTTGAGTTTGATTTGTAACAAGGGTCCTTTAATACAGACGCCACACACGGCTAAACAGAACATCTTATGAAGACACGCAACTGAGATCTGGGAACACCACCACAGTCTAATCAGACGCCCGTGTCTGTTCTCCAAATCCATTTTAATTTTTTTGCTATCTTGTCAAGAGACAGAAAAGAGATGAGTGGGTTGAGAGCTGCCAGGAAAAGTAATCAAAGCCCGAGTGAAAAGGAAGAAAGGATTTTTTTCCAGCTTCGTTCATGGAATAGATTTTTCTTTCAGCTCTCTGCCACTAAAGCAGCATCGATAGCAGGAGCTGTGAGGAGGAAAAAATCTGCTGCCCTGCTTTTTAGAGTAATGACAAAGTCTGGAAATCACCTGACACAGGGCTTCAATGGTAGGTGGTGGTTTATTGTGAGAGGTAAAGGGAGGGGAGAGGAGATGAAGAAGATGAAAAGAGTAGGAGAGAAACCAAGAGGTGCTAAAGAGTGATCTCTGGGAAGTCTGAAGCACAGAGGCCGCACAAAGCAATGACATAACTTTTGTCCTGTCACAGTCTGGAGCTGCTCCTGCAAACAACAGAGGAGAATGTGCCCATCTGTCATGACTACACCATTAACTTCTTTTTCCTTCTTAAGGTCTGTTCACATTATCACAGAAAACAGCATTTGAAAGACAAAGACAGAGAGAATATCAGCAACAACTGGAGCTACCCAGACTTTTTGAAATGTGTTGACTGGTGCCAGCATCGTTCCGATCTCACTCAGCGGCGCAGACTATAATGTGAATATGCCATTAGAAATGACGCCACTGTTGCCTTTACCCCCGTGAAGAACTTCCTTTGTTATTGTTATTGAGGCGACATCTTCTTGAGCCCTTAAAGGTTTCATGGCCTCACTCTTATGGTTTTCCTCTGTTTCCATTTCTATTTCAAAACAAAAAGCAAACAGTAAGACTCTAAATTATGTGCAGAGAAGCTGGAGAATTCACGGTAGATCTCGAGGGACACAGTGTGTGTGTCAGTGTGTGTGCTTCCACAGGCCGGTCGGTGACTCGCAGCCTCTGGGTTGTGTCAGCGGGGCTGCACAGACAGGAATACAACATGCTCCACATGATGAGAGAGTTGCCAGCTTTCAGAGCCACAATTATGTCTGGGTGACAAAGCCTTTCTTTAAGACCCATCTTTCCAGGTTACACCACATCGGTCACTATAGCAACAGATGTCGGTGTAGGAGGGTGGGGCCATGTGAGCGGCACATGAGGAGCTAACAAAGCTCAGCACCCCGCTGCATTGCAAAAGCCTTTAAATGGAATGTACAACCTGAGAAGCTCGAGAGGAGCTGCAGATGGATTTTGTTGTGTATGACACAGTCAGCTGGGTGTGTGAGGCAACCGAGGTGGGGAACACATAGTGCTACACACAACACAAGATGAGCCAGACGTTTCCTTTCACTAGCACTCCTCACTTCTTTACAAAAGCTTTTCCTCTTAATTATGACACAAAAAATTAAAATCTTTCTTAGGACTGTCCACTGTATACTTCAGTGAATTGATAACAGTAGTGCTCCTCTTTCAGCAG